TACGTCACTACCGGCTGCCTTAGGTAGTACAGCCCTCCGATCCGGTCACCTATAGCAACAACCTTTTTGCCTTTCTGGATTCTGCAATCCTTCACACCAAACAGCACATCATAGCCATTGCTTGTGATTTGGCTCACTGACAGCACACTTCCGGACAATCCAGGCACATACAGCAATCCCTTCAGTTGCATGTCAACGGACTCGCCTTCCAAGCCGACTCCAACGATCCTTCCATGTCCGGTTCCTCTGGAAGTTACATTTCTCCCGTCCGCCAACGACACCTTCTCTTCGCAAAACGTCATGCTGTCGAAGCTCGCCGTCGAACCAGCCATGTGCTTCGTACAGCCAGTGTCGATGATCCAACGACCGTCAATCGACACATCACTTGCAGTCGTCGTCGTGAAGCACACTCCTCGACTACTGCCAATGCTACCGGCATCCGATTGCTTAACCACCATCGACTTCGCTTGGTTCTGCTGCCTCTCCGCCATCAACACAGGACAATTTCGCCGCAAGTGCCCTTCTTGCTTGCAATGGTAACAAACCCGTACAAAACTTCTCCGTTCTTCCGATCGCATTGTGGTTTTCATCGCCATTTCACTGGCCTTTTCATGCACTTTGTTCTCGCATCTTCTCCGCCACTCATCTAGAAGCTTACCTTTCACGTACTCCAGCTTCAGGTCTTCTTCTGGACGGCCTTCAAGAGCAGTAACGAGCGGGTTGTACGTCTCCGGCAAACTTGACAACAAAATCGCCACAACAAGATGTTCCTTCAACGGTTCTCCCATGCTGGCTAGTCGATGAACCAACTCTGACGCTTGGACTAGATGCTCCGACATACTGCCATCTTCTTTCAGCCGCATCGAGCACAATCTCCGCAGTATATGGATCTTGTTCGACAGAGACCCTCGCTCGTGGTAGCCTTTGAGCTTGTCCCACATCTCATTTGCACTAGCAGCTCCCATAACATGGCACAGCTGACCATCTTCTAGCGCCAAACCGATCGTCGCTCGAGCCTTTTCGTTGTTCCTCGTCCAAGCTGCTGTAACCACCTCCGGCTTCGCGTCAATCACCGTTGTCCACAGATTTTCTTTGAGCAGCAACAACTCCATCCGGAACTTCCAAGTTGCCCAATTAAAATCGTTCAACCGGTCTAATGTTATCTTCGTCTCGGCCATTTTCCACGAAACAAAAACACTACGCGCACGGTCGGGCAAAGAAAACAGCTTCACAATCGAGCGAACAATGTTCACAATTCGATACTTTCCACAAAGTGTTCTTTCTTATTCCACTATAAGCTTTTTCCGAACGAAGCGTACTTCTTCAGTTCAAACAATCGCACTTTTAGAGACCGGACCAGCAAACAATAAGTTTGCACTTCAGCCCGTACAGGAGAGAAAAACAAAATTTCTCCTCCTCGAACAAAACTTTTTCCGTTTCGTATTCCGTTCCGTGCTACACACTTGGCCGATACTCCACTGCCAACAGCACAATTTCACCCGACAAAAACGTTCAGCTGCGGACAACAGCACATACACCCGCCGGGGGAAATCTTCTCGTAAACAAAGCACAAACGCAACGCAATCCACACAAAATGTCTCCTCCACCGGAGAACACTTTTCCACTATTACTTTCTTCACGGATCTGGGCCCATAACCTGTGGGAATCCCAGCGCAAGCAGATGTACACAGGTTTATCCAAACCGAACTACCGGACAATAAACACCCGTCTCGGGAGTCGCGTGATACCAAAGAAAAATAACCGCGGACTACGTTCTACGTGCGTCTTTATTTACAAGTTACAATGGACTAGTCAACAAACATAAATTGTACACACATCAGCAATTTATGCTTCGTCAGTCTCTCACTCTCACGCACTCATACACACTCATACGGCAGCTGTCATTCTCGATCTTGGGAGCCACTATAGAGACTCACATGATAGATGCGCGTATCCAGGGGCTTTCACTACTTACTTCCAACAGAAATACGCGTATCTGTCAAAAGATAAGCAATTATAACGGAATTTAAAGGAAATAAACCAACCCACTCAAAGCTCTTCATAAAGGGATTCCGTTAAGAGGTTCGACAAATTTAAAGGATTACTCATTAATTTTGTTATTTAATAAATGATTTGAGGCACTTTTTTTTTTTAAATTGGAGAAATCCTACTCATTAATGCATTGTTTTGTGATTCGAGCTCGGATTAAAATACAAAATAATAAATTAACGCATTTTGTTCGAATTCAGCATTTTGATTGTACATATTTTCGAATTTTTCGTGCAAATAACGAACTATCATGTATTTTTACACGCAGAAACAAACATATTTGAGGTAAATTTAAACGTAAACCGAGACGTAAACTCAGTTTGTTCTGGCCACAAACATAAACTAGGTTGATTTCAAACGTATTCCATGTTTGAAGCCATTGTTAATAATATTTAAAACAAAAATATTGTTACGTTTATTTTAAAAATGTTCGAGTTGAAAATAAACGGGAATATTTTTGGTTGATTTGACAACTATATCTATAACTATATGTCAGCCGTTGTCGCTTTGTTGCGCGCCGGAGTATGCATGAAAGAAATAATTCGGTCTTTAAATGTGTCTGAAAGAACAGTGTATAATATTAAAAAAGGCTTGGGAAAGTGATAAGACGGAGCACCTGCTCATACTGCTAATAAAGCACAGAAATGGCTTACGGAAAATATTTCGTAAATTTGGGAGGAAGAAATTTGGCCCCCAAGCAGTCCCGATATCAATCCGTTGGATTATTTTGTATAGGGCGTCGTCCAACGGGATACCAACACTTAAGTCGCTAAAAACTAAAATCAAGGCAGTGATGACATCTATGGATCGAAACATTTTAAAACGTGCATACTGCAGTTTCCGGAAGCGTCTAACTACAGTCGTCGAAAGGTAACACAATTTTTTTGAATAAATTTACTTACAACTTCCATATGTTGCGAAAGAAAATAATTCGCACAAAATTCATTGCTAGAATAACTAACTGATGTATTTTTTCTCAAATATGCCATTTACTGCAAAAATTCGTCACGCACCCTGTATACACCTCGTAGACCTTGAGATGTGTGCTCTTGAAATTGCAAGGTGTGATGGAAAAACGGACTCTACGAGGAAACACCTTAATTCGACTGTTTTCAATTGATTTAATAATATGGTTTATTAAACACTCTCAGCATTTTTTACAGGCGTCAATATTTTTTTACTGGGTTTTTGAATTACTGAAAAACTCGGTTAAAATTTAAATGACCGTTATTCGTAAAGATTCGATAAAATCGACAAATTTTATTTTTCATAATTAAACGGGGTTAACAGAAGTAAGTCTGTAAATTTTCGTAACACATTTTTTCATCTTTGAATTTTTCACAGATTTTTTAAATTTTACGGAACAGTTCCGCAATTCAAAAACTCGGTAACAATTACTGACTGAATAAGTGTGTACGTCTAATAATGGCTTACTAGCTCCATTATTAAATTCCATTGCATTGCTTAACAATATTGCTGAATAAATGTGAATACAGTCAGCATAATTGATTGCTCTTATACCACTATGCGTCCATGGTTTAATTGCATGCTTTGAAAATGCTTTTCAAACGGCGTATTCATTCATTATTCCACAACAAAATGAAATTGGTAGCATAGTGGTTACCGTTTCCGCTTTCCAAGTAGAAGGTCGCGAGTTCAATCCCAACCTCAACCTTTTTTTTTATTTATTTTCTTCGCCTAATTAACTTAAATCGTTATCATAGATCGTATCACTCACGACAACCAATTCATCGATCTATCGAAAAGAATAGCCCAGCATCCTTTCCATCGAAATTAGAGAGATGGAGAGGTAACATTGGTCTCATGTAAAACAACTATGAATGAATTAATCATTCTCACATCTCCTTGAACTAGCGAGAGTTATTGTTTATTTAGCTGCCCATATGACGTATTCTAGGAGAGCTCAGATGGCAAGGCAAGCGGCTGGTGATCGGAAGGTCCATAGTTCGAATTCTCCATCTAACGACATGTGTGTATGTATGTAAAAAATATTATATTATCTGTGTTGGTCCTTTTGGTAAAAATTGTAAAAAACTTAATAAAATTTTGAAGATCTAGTTCGTCATCATGGCCATAAACATGCAGAAGAATAACTTTGTAGATGAATATATGCTACTATTAATCAACCGTGACTTTATACAGTCCACTCAATCGTGCCAGGGCGTGGTCATATTTGACTACGCTGTCCCGAAAGGGATAGTAAGAGTAATTCAAATAAAGAAAATTCTTATTCAATGTCACCCGGCTTTGTTGAGTTTTTTTCAGTTATTGTTTTTGTTATTGTAGTATTTTTCATAGAAATTCGTCCTTCTAATGATTGGTAATTTTTTATGCATAAAATGTTCCGAATCAATCAATATGCAACGTGATTCATGGGAAGTAAGGTGAAAGGAAGTCAATCAAGTAAATATTATATCGAATGCAGCGAAGAATTTAAATGCAATACGATAACAGCTGTTCAGCACCGAGGAGCCAAATACAGTAGACAATTCCAATCACTACTGTGTACACATTCATAGCGCACATAATGAACGACAACATTCGTCACACCTATAAAGGTTAATCTTACATTTTAATGAATTTATATTCAACTATTTCGCAAATTTATAATTTTAGAGTCTCACCTCTCATGCAAAGCAGCTGAAATCCTCCTAACCTTACCGACTATAGATACACATATGAATTGTAGTTCAGAATTGGCATAGCGTTGATTATAGTGTATAGTGTATAGTGATATCGCCGGGCTCAGTGTAAACATTGTTATAGCTCTCCATTGCGAATGCAACTGCATGTAAAATGCAACATAGCACCATACATACATATCGAAAAACTCTAGTCAGCGAAGTAGAACCGAGGAAGCTCTCGGGCAATTTCCCGATTGGGTGGTCCACCAGGCGAAAGGGTTTTTCTTTCTCTCATTTTCCGTTCGCGGTTCGTTCGGTTCGGTCGCATCTTTCCCGTCAGTCTGTCGGTCTGTCTGTCTGTCTATCTAAAAACGGTTGCCGGACGGAAACGGTGCACAGTAGTTGGTGGTTGGTGTAGCGAGGGGCGTCGTTGTGGTCCGGCGTGTCAATGGAAACTAGTGATTCCCGTTCTAGTGCAGTCCCTCCTAAGTGGATTAGTCGCGTCATCACAGTTGGTCATTGGTTCAATATATAGTTTTAGGTGCATTTCATCCAGGATCGAACCACACGATTGATTACGTTGTGAGGAGCAGTAGCAGCAGACAGCGCAGGAGTGGGTAATTAGTGGAACGTAAACCCATCCTTCGGTCTCCACTCCACCAGCAGAGACGGATTACTTCCGGTGCACGGAGATGAAGGTGATTAGTAGACTGTGTTGTGTATAACTGATTATTCAATGAAACGGATTGAAGCCATGTTGAGCATCGAATTGAGTTACAAAGTAGCTTAATTTATTACAAAACATCACCTTTAATATCACGCGTAATACGTAAAACTCTTGACTCAAACGCCATTTCTCTGGGAAAACCAGCAGTAGCGAGAGAATGTGACTGGGAGACTGTTTTTTTGTTTGCTATTACACATACCTACCTAGCGAGCTTCCTTCGGGATCACAGCCAGTAGGTTGGGAAAATTGATATTTTGCGCAAGAGCGATGTAAAGGTAGTTGTAGGATGAAGGACAAGTCTGGGTCTATTTTCTCATCTGTTGGCCCATAGTATGGGGAGATTGGGGTCAATCGTCTACATAGAAGATTGCATGTAGCCATAGAAAAGTGAATATCTTTCTAGTAGGTGACTGGACATAAACCATGTAAGGTAAACGCTCCTTTAGTTGGGGTACGTTCGAAGCGTTAGGTTCCTATGGTTGCTTATGGAGACTACATAAGCAACCATAGGAACCTATCGGCTCTAGCGTACCACAACTATAGGAGTGTTTAGCCTAGATATTGTGCTTCTCTAGAATTAACCATTTCATTCGAGCAGATAAAATGACGTTTGCTACTACTCGAACTTCAATATAAAACAGTATATTGCGATTTTTTCTACCACGAGAAAAGCTACTTAAATTTGTGCGCTTCATAAAAAATAGTATGGTCCTGTTGTGTGAAACCGCTGGTAGAAAATTACGCCAAACTGCTTGACAAAGTGGTTGATTTCAAGAATTTTCTGATTTTACCGTTCTGTCACTGAAATGTGCGCTAGGGTATGTTATATATATAACATTAGTTGTTATAGTTGTAGTTGGACGTGCATTAAATTTGTTGATCAAATAGTCGGCTTTATTAAAATAGGTGACTTTATTTAAAACGATACAAAAAGAGCTTCTGAATCCAGTATGACATATCACCAGGGCCGGATTTACGTGTATGGGGCCAAACATACTTCTTATTAATACATTTATCGATCCTCGATCCTGTGTCCCAGTCATAGTTTCAAGTATTTTGAATACGCTTCTAGACTTTCTAAGACGAGTTCCAATTCAGAAGAACTGATATTTATGACAAACCATTATCAGTTACTACGCCGTTCTTGGAGAGTTAATAAGCTGATCAATTGCAAAATTGGTTTCAAATGGTTACAAAGAGATTAGAGAGTTGGAAAGTACGTTTTGTAATTGTGTACGTTCTATATTGTAATTATCATTCACGGAAATTACCCACGGAGTCTTTGTGAGAATAGTTTCAATAATAAACAAAACAAATCTTCAGTAGCAGACTATTCTCGTCTTTTTGAAACTGCAACTGAAATATTTGATCGGGGGATCTCGAACAATTTTTTTTTCTAAACAAAAAGAATAACAGAAAAGTAATTCATAAAAAAACAAACGCTCAAATAGACCCTTATTTTGTACCGTGCCGATTCAAATTTCGGACACTTAAACTCGAATTTCGGACACTTTTAAAAGTTGATTATCTCGGTCGAATATGATCCACATGTCTTGTAAATTTTAAATTTTTTTGACTAGTGCCCTCCACGATCATCTAACATTATTACTTTGTTTCTAACTGGATGTAATATTTAATTAAAAATGAAAGTGTCCGAAATTTGAATCGGAACGGTATGTATCTTCTAAGACATAGTTTTTATGCAATAAATGGTTTAGGAGTTAGATTTTTTGAAAAATTCGTATGTGAAAACACATACGCCCTTTTTAAACATTAGTCTTGAGTCAAAATGGTCTAGTGATTTGTGGAAAAATCATAATCTACTATACTGAAGACATGTTGAAAGTTTCATCAAAATCGGAAGGGCTCGTGCCAAGTCGTTTGATCATTTTACAGAGAATTGCTCGTAACAATGGTGAAATTAATAATTGGGATATTTTTTTAAAATAGTTTCTCGCATCCAATTTTTCTGATATTTGGAAATAAACTGCTTAAAGGTCATTCAAAGTGTTTTTTTTATGTTACTTCATACGCGAAGTTAACGATTTTCAGAGTTGGTTGGAAATGCTAACATGAAGCTTTAGTGTGATGATTTATTAGCTAGAGAATGATCTTTAGAAGAGGGTAGGTGGATAGTTCCGTTAGAGTACGGCAGTATGAAAATTGAATAGAAGTTGAAAATGAGCGAAGGGCCATTAATGCGACAGTTTTTGAAGATAGACGCACATTTTTGCCTAACCCGTACGATGTACGCGGGGATTTGAAGTATGTTGCCTGTGGACTTGGAGACATACTTCAAGTCCCCGCGTACATCGTACGGGTTAGGCAAAAATGTGCGTCTATCTCCAAAAACTGTCGCATTAATGGCCCTTCGCACATTTTCAACTTCTATTCAATTTTCATACTGCCGTACTCCAACGGAACTATCCACCTACCCTCTTCTAAAGATCATTCTCTAGCTAATAAATCCTCACACTAAAGCTTCATGTTAGCATTTCCAACCAACTCTGCTTAAAGGTCGTTTTCGGTAAAACTGTAACCGAAGGATCGGTAACTGTCAGACTATAATGCTTTTCCAAAAATAGTTCTACCTAGCGTTCAAAATCATAAGGGCCTTGCTGCAATGATTGATTCTCTTAAGTGCTTTTCTGTTTTTTTTAATAACTCCACTGGTTTAAATGTCTCGGCCCGTTCGTTGTCCTTTTTGCTAGCCTTACTTACCTTACCAATCAGTCTAAGGCCTTGTTGTCCTCTGCTGTCCGAAGAAGTCGTCTCCACTCTACTCGATCCATGGCCACACTTCGCCAGCCTCGTAGTCTGCGAAGGGTCCGCAGGCAGCCTTCTACTTGGTCGATCCACCTTGTCCGCTGCGCGCCTCTTCTTATTGTTCCTGTTGGGTCGCTTTCTAGAACCATTTTCACTGGGTCGTCGTGCGGCATTCTTACGACGTGCCCAGCCCACCGTAGTCGCCCAATTTTTGCAATGTGGACGATGGATGGTTCTCCCAGCAGCTGGTGTAATTCACCTCCTCAACGTTCCGTCATCCATCTGCACTCCACCGTAGATGGTACGCAACACCTTCCGTTCGAAAACACCAAGGGCGCATTGGTCCTCCACGAGCATAGTCCAGGTCTCGTGGCCGTAGAGGACCACCGGTCTAAGAAATAAATAAATAAATAAATAAATAAATAAATAATCAGCGTCTTGTAGACAGTCAGCTTCGTGCGATGGCGAATTTTATTCGATCGGAGGTTCCCCCGGTTCCGAAGTAGGCACGATTCCCTACCACAATGTGTCTTTGAATTTCTCTGCTGGTATCATTTTCGGCGGTCACCAGTGAGCCCAAATACACGAACTCATCGATTTCGTCCACCTCAATTTCGTCACCGTCAATCTGAACTCGGGGTGGGAGGCTAACATTGTCTTCCCTAGAACCTCTTCCTCTCATGTCTTTTGTCTTTGATGGGTTGATGGCAAGTCCAATCCGCCTTGCTTCAGCCTTCAGTCTGATGTGCGTTTCCACCATCGTCTCAAAGTCCCGTGCCATGATGTCAATGTCATCGGCAAAGCCAAGAAGTTGGATGGACTTCCTGAAGATCGTGCAACTCGTGTCTGGGATGGACACTCTTCTGATCACACCTTCTAACGCGATGTTGAACAGCAGACACGAAAGTCCATCACCTTGCCGTAACCCGTAACCCCCTTCGAGATTCAAAGGGACTCGAGAGTGTCCCCGATACTCGAACAACGCACATCACTCGATCCATCGTCGCCTTGACCAATCGCGTCAGTTTAACCGGAAATCCGTACTCGTGCATAATCTGCCACAGCTGATTTCGATCGATTGTGTCGTATGCGGATTTGAAATAGATGAACAAATGATGTGTGGGCACGTTGTATTCGCGGCAGAATTTGGGAGAGTACCTTGTAGGCGGCGCTCAGCAGTGTGATCGCGCGGTAGTTGCAGCAATCCAACTTGTCACCCTTTTTGTAGATTGGGCATACTACACCTTCCATCCACTCCTCCGGTAATATCTCCTCCTCCCAAATCTTGGCAATTACCCAGTGCAGCGCTCTAGCCAGTGCTTCACCACCGTATTTTAATAGCTCACTTGGTAGTTGATCTACAACAGTTGCTTTGTTGTTCTTCAGCCGACCGATCTCCTCCTCAACTTCTTGAAGATCAGGGGCTATCGTCTTCTGCGCTTGCTCCAAGGTCTGTTGCCGTGCCACCTTCGTTTTCTGCTGCTTCTCCGTTGAGGTGCTCGTCAAAGTAGGGTTAACTACCCCATTTCCGGCCTATTAAGCTCATCCTGCACTTAGTCTTTCTTAATCTAGCGCAGTTGAGCACCAAACGGAATGTTGTTTTTACTGATGGCTTCCAAATTTATTTACCTTTCCGTATGTACCATAAGATTTGCTAACGAGAAACCAATCGTTGAGATATTGTCAAAAGTCTAACACTGCTTCTTGACGCCAAACTCGGCCTACTGATTCTAAACTCGGCCTAACGCATTGAAACGCCATTGGAACGCCAATGAACTCACTTCGGCCTATCGAATGAAGATAAAAATTGATTCGTTCGGAGCGCTTCTTTTGTTTTCATGAATAATGGGTGAAAACCTTCATATCACGCGTTCTCATTGAGCTCGTTCCGTAGCTCAATAACTAAAGTATCGTACCAAACGCATAATTGACTTCCCAAGTAACAATTTTAGTTTTATGAGGGTTCTGAAAACCAAGTTTTAGACTTGTAGAATGATTTAAAACCTCTATAAAACTTGCAATGTTACTTGGGTTGTTAACTCTGAAATCATGGATTTATTTGAAGTTTTCTGTTTGATAGGCCCAAAATGGGCGATTAGGCCGAAGTAGTTCTCTACCCTACTGCTTCCACCTCTCAATCACCTCACACTCGTTCGTGAGAAGGTTACCGTCCAAGTCCTTGCACATATCGGCTTGCGGCACGTA